TATCTTATATGTATATTCATGGTTTCCTTCAGGTTCTGACCCACTGTAGGAACTCTGGGCGGTTTACATGGTGTTTTTGGTCTTTTTAGTTAACTTGTTTTGGTCTTTTCAGCTGTTTTTGTTGTTCTTTGCCCCTTTTTTGTTCCTTTTATTACCTAATTTTAATCTTTTATATGTATATCCATGGTTTCCTTCAGGTTCTGACCTATTGTGGGAACACTGGGAGGTTTCTATGGCTCAGTGACAGCTGCTAGCTTGATGCTAACAGAGTTAGCTTCAGGCTGAGGGCAACAGGGCTAAACAGAGTCTGGAGGTAATCAGAAACAGCCCCAGAGCTGGTGACACTGCGCTCTGTTTGTAGGGAATCACCCTGAAACCTCTGGTCAACTGGCTGAAGGTGAAGCGGGCCGCCGTGACCGAACTGACGCTGGTGGAAAAAGTCCAAAACAGGGTAAAAGTCCGGGTTAAACCCACTTTTACAGACACGACCCGTCCAAGCTGCCCTCTGACTCTGGTTCCTCTCTGCCTCAGATGTTTGATCACATGCTTGTTGCCATTGAGGACATCTCAGGACAAATAGGACACAACTACATGAGGGGCAAGTAGGTGGAGATTCAGACTCTGGAGCTCCTCAGAAGTCAGGAATCCTCCAAACCGGCAGGATTCAGAGCTCTTTTTCTTGTTCCAAAGATGGAATAACTTCGAGGAGAGGTGGATGTCCTGGCTGCTGATGAAGCCGTCAGTGAGGAAGAAGCAGGACCGAGTGTTCAACACTTTCCACAAGCTGAACCTGAAGGACGCCATGAGCTATGTGGCCGAGGTGAGCACCCCACGCCTTCTGCCTCTGACATCAGAGCCGGACGCCATCTGCCTCTGACATCACGCCATCTGCGTCTCGTTTCAGGGGGAGCGCCGCGGTTCGCTGGAGTTCATCCGGAATGAAAACGCCATCGTCGACTTCAAGAAAAAGTTTGGAGACGACATGTCCGACGTCATGTCCGACGTCATGCCCGACATCATGGCCGACATGTCAGATGACCACGGCGCCACGGCGATGAGGTGAGACGCAGTAGCCCCGCCCACCAGTGGGCTGAGGCCGAAAGATGAGATTAGCTCATTTACACTCACTCAGGAACCAAAGACGGGAACCAGTCATTTGGTTCTTGTCTTTGGTTCTTGTCTTTGGTTCCTGTCTTTGGTTCTTGTCTTTGGTTCCTTTCATTTGGATCCTTTCTTTGATTCCTGTCTTCGGTTCCTGTCTTTGGTTCCTTTAAGTTGGTTCCATTCATTTGGTTCCTTTCTTTGGTTGCAGAATTTGGTTCCTTTCTCTGGTTCCTGTCTTTGGTTTCTGTGTTTGGTTCCTGTCTTTGGTTCCTGTCTTTGGTTCCATTCATTTGGTTCCTTTCTTTGGTTCTTGTCTTTGGTCCCTGTCATTTGGTTCCTGTCATTGTTTGCAGACTTTTGTTCCTTTCTTTGGTTCCTGTCTTTGGTTCCTTTCATTTGGTTCCTGTCTTTGGTTCCCTGTTGTTTTAAACTGGACCCGTTTGGGCCCCGGTAGGGACCCGGTGCCATCGGTGAGCCTGGAGATGCACGAGCAGACGATGAAGAACCTGAGGGAACCGGAGGACCTGAACGCCCACCACCTGCTGCAGCAGCACCTGTACAAGGGCAGGAAGCAGGTGAGTGACCTGTGACCTTTGACCCCTCTGACCCTTTCTGACTCCCTCTGACCCTCTCTGACCTCTGACCCCACAGCACCGCCACAGGTACAGCCGCAGCCACTTCGACATCAACAAGGACGAGAACGAGGTCCAGGAGATCTTCCAGAGGACCATGAGGAGCCGCCTGGAGTCCTTCAAGTCAGCAAAGATGGGCGTGGCCCCACCCAAGACTATTTCCAAGCACCCCAAGAGGGAGCAGAAGGTCAGAGACTCCGCCCCCACCGGACAGACCGGGACTTTAAGGCTCAGCTCCCAGCAGAACGTTTATTTAGGGTTTCTGACTTCTGCTGGCTTCCAAAGTCTTTATATTCCAAATTAAACACTGCTTTGCCAAACCGATAAAACCCAAAATTTCAGATTTTAAGCATCCAAATTCTTATTTTGTTGTAAGTTGTAACTGAGCTTTCTGAAATAAGCCTTAAAATCCTCAAATGAGAAGACAAAGAACTCTGAATGACCTGAAAGGCAGAAATTTGGTCTCAACATTCTGAAAAACAAAAATGAACAGACAAAGAGCGAAGATGCTAAATTAAAAAAGAACACAAAGCTGCTTTGAAACAAAAAAGAAGTAAGAAATTGTACAAAATGAAGAGAAAAAACAAATTGGCGAGAAAAGGTTGTGGTCAGCCTCTGGATGACGCTGCTTCTCTGTGTTGCAGCTGCCGAACGGCCGAAACAAGAGCTCCCACTCCGGTGATGAAGGTCAGTGTCCGTTGCCGTGCTGCGTTCAGGCGCTCTAAGGCTGTCGTAAAAACTGCCTCTGCTCCTCTTCTCCAGATTTCGAGTTCTCGGAGGGTGACAGCGCATCTGGATACGACCCGTATCGGCAAAGCGTCCCCATGAGGGTCACCTACAGGGCGGGAGGTAAGCACGCCGGCGCACATCGCATGCTGCACGCCCCTTGCCATCGCCTTATGCTGCATGCTGAACTCCACATGCCGCCTCCTTACATGCCGCATGCTGCATGCTGAACGCTGCATGCTGTCCCCTTATGCTGCTCGCCACATTCTAAACTCCGCATGCTGAACGCCGCATGCTGTCGCCTTACATTGCATGCTGAATGCAGCATGCTAGATGCCGCATGCTTTCGCCTTACGCTGCATGCTGAACTCCACACGTCGCCTTACATTGCATGCTGAATGCAGCATGCTAGATGGCGCATGCTGTCGCCTTACACCGCATGCTGAACGCCGCATGCTGTCGCATTATGCTGCACGCCACATGCTGAACTCTGCATGCTGGACGCTGCACGCCGCATGCTGAACTCTGCATGCTGAACTCTGCATCCTGAATTCTGCATGCTGTCGCCTTATGCTGCATGCTGAACTCCACACGTCGCCTTACATAGCATGCTGAATGACGCATGCTGGATGCCGCATGCTGAACGCCGCATGCTGTCGTCTTATGCTGAACTCCACATGCTGAACTCCGCATTCTGAACTCCGCATGCCGTCAACTTACATCGCATGATGAATGCTGCATGTTAAACGCCGGATGCTGGACACTGCATGCTGAACGCCGCATGTCGTCACCTTACGCCACATGCTGAATGCCGCATGCTGAACGCTGCATGCTGGATGCCGCACACCGCATGCTGTAGCCTTACACATCATGCTGCACGCCACAAGCCATACGCTGCTGCCATTTGCTGCCGCTAACGCATGCTACCGCCGCACGCTCTGACTCCCCTCCTGTCTCGTCTCCAGCTGGGATCGAGAACCCGGCCTTCATGCCGGACCTGGACCCGTCGGCGCCGCTGCAGATCCCGCCCTGGCTGGCGGAGGCGGAGCTTGATGCCGGCGCCGTGGCGCCATCGCAGCGGGCTCAGGTGAGGCTGCCGTGGGCGGCCGGCGCGCTGCACCGCCTGGCGCCGCTCCGCATCAGCACGCGCTCAGACGACTCCTTCATGATGGCGGCCGCCGCGGTGCTGCCCGCACAGGACGATGACCAACTGCCGCCGCCGCCACCACCGCCTCACAGAGACGGCAACCAGCTGTAGCCGCAGACTCAGCCGGAGCTCCGCCCCCTCTGGGTCCAGTCCTGGGCCCAAATGGGGAAACGAGGCCGGAGGAGCTTCTGCTTCTGGACTTAAATCCTTTAAATCAAAGATGAAACAAGGAATTCTGAGTAGTGACGAGAATCAGCCCCATTTATGTGATTAAGGCGTTTCCTGAATGTTAAACTTGCTGTAAGATAGAGAAATATATTTATTCACAAAGATCTATGAACCGTTTCCTGTATAGAAATAAAACAAAGGAAAGTTGGTTTTCAGACTCGAGCTGTGTGGAGATCAACCCTGAAAACCCATTCGGATCCAAAACTTTTGAGGCTCTGAGCCAACAACCTGAACGGTGAGTCGATTCACAGCGTTTGGAAGCTCATCTGGTAAAACCCCCTAAGGTCACCATAGCCGAGCGCGTCACACAGAAAAAGTCACAAAAGAACAGGGAGAAACACACAAAGATTCACTAAATGAATTAAAAAAAGACAAATAAACAAGAAGTGAAACAAGAAGTGACACAAAAAAGAAGAAAAACAACAATTCACTGAATGTATAAAAAAAACACCACAAGAACAAACAAAAAAAAAACACAAAAGTTCCCTGAATGTATGAAAGAAAATACACAAAACACAAGAAGTCACACAAAAAGACACAAAAGAACAAGAAGAAAAACACAAACATTCAAATGAATAAAACACAAGAAAATAACCCAAAAATGAACTGAATGTATAAAAGAAAATACACAAAAAGTCGCACAAGACAAAAAGAACAAGGAAAACAAAACAAATTCTATTTTTGAGGCTTTATTTCAGAAAAAAATAGATCATATGGGTCAGAATCTGGGTCAGAAATAGTCCATCTGGGGCTCCAGGTGCTTCTGGATCTGGTCCAGGAGGATCTTTTCGTTCTCAGGCTCCTTCAGGTAGAAGTGAGCTCCATCGAACATCCTGATGCTGAAGTCTCCCGACGTCACGCATCTCCAGGCTGAAACATTCACAGGGTCAGAACCAGATCCTACAAAACCAGAACCAGAACCAGAACCATGACCAGAACCATGACCCACCCTGCAGGTCGTGGGGAGCGTCGTCCCTCCCGTCGAAGCATGTGACCGGGCAGGACAGAATCGGCTCGGCCGGTTTCTCACAGCTGCAAACACAAGAGCAGATCCATGGAAGGAGCCCAGACCACCATGCCTCCCCCGCCGTGCTGCAGCCTGGTGCTGATGCTCAGAGTTTAAGTTTACATAGGAAACTATGTTTCTCTGTGAGTTTGAGGCCGTTTTTCTACTTTAAACTGAGTTTCTCTGTGAGTTTGAGGCTGTTTTTCCTGCTTTAAACTGAGTTTCTCTGGGAGTTTGAGGCCGTTTCTCTGCTTTAAACTGAGTTTCTCTGTGAGTTTGAGCCTAAACGAGGCCATTTTTCTGTTTCAAAGCTTCAGTTTCAAAGGCCAAAATGCTTTTTAAAAAACTGATTTTCTGGGCTTAACTCCCTTCAGAGGGCAGTAAATAGTGACTCGGACTCCTCAGCCCTCCACAGGAGCCCTTGGATGAGCGGAGGAACGCCCACCTGTAGCTCTCCACCACCTGCAGGTCGGCCCTCAGCGCCGGCAGGAACAGCTGCAGCACCTCTGGCGTCCTCAGCAGCTCGGGGGGGGTCCCTCCCACGGACCCCACCCACCTCAGGAACTCCTCGTCCGACAGGTGGCTTCTTTTGGGGGCGTTGAGACGAGTTTCTGACTGGGGGAGCAGAGCGGAGCTTAGCAGTGTCCGGCACGAAAAAAGCGGAACTAAAAAGTTTTTTTTTAATAATTGATTTATTATTATAACATAATAATAATATTATATAATTATAACTATAATAACATTAATATGATTCATTATATCATACTAATAATGTAATTATAAATAAACATAATTGTAATCTAATAATTAATATGAATTATTATAATTAATAATATGAATAATTATTAATAAAATATGTTTTTAAAAGTTTTTAAACTAATTAAAAGTGGAAAAAAGCTGACTCACGAACGGGGCCGAGGCGCCGGACAGGAAGATGTGCACGGGCTCCAGGTTGTGGCGCCGCTTCAGGGCCTCGGCGACGGCAAAGCTGGCGAAAGCCCCGAAGCTGCCGGAGAGCAGAGGTCAGGCGGCGTAGGGGGCGGGGCCTCTGCTTAGCCCCGCCTCCTCAGAGGCCCCGCCCCCTACTCACCTGTGGCCGAACAGGGCGAATGGCCGCTCAGAGAGAAGCGGCACTAGCACCGGGAGCAGCTGGTCCACCAGCTGGACCATGCTCTGCAGGAAGGGTTCCCCAGCACGGCTCTCCCTGCCCGGCAGCCGCACGGCCAGGACTGAGGGGGGCCAGACCAGGACCAGGAGGAACAGGACCGGGAGGACCAGGAGGATCAGGAGGACCAGGACCAGGACCAGGAGGACCAGGACCAGGACCAGGAGGACCAGGAGGAACAGAAGGAACAGGAGGACCAGGACAAGGAGGACCAGGATTGAGACCAGGAGGACCAGGACCAGAAGGACCAGGACCGGGACCATGACCGGGAGGACCAGGACCAGGAGGAACACGAATGGGAGGACCAGGACGAACAGGACCACAAAGAACAGGATGACCAGGACCAGGACCGGGACCGGGACCAGGAGGAACAGGACCAGGAGGACCGGGAGGACCAGGAGGACCGGGAGAAACAGGACCAGGGGGGAGAGGAGGACCAGAGACAGGGGGATGGGAAGGAGAAAGTGGATGATAACAAAAATAATAAAAACAAGAAGAAGAAGAAGAAGAAAAAGAAAATTAAACAAGAAAAAGACCAGCAGGATTAAAAAGAGTGAGCTAAAGTAACCTGACTAGAAAAACATTTATCACACATAGTCCGTGTTGTTTCCAGGACTTCTCATTTCTAACGACCCCTCTTTATTCCCGCTTCTGTTCTTTAAGAGTAGCCTAACATCTGTGTGGGGGGGGGGGGGGGGGGGGGGGGGGCTTTACCTTCCACGGAGCTGCTGAGCACGGCCCCCCAGCGGGCGTAGTGGATGGAGCCTCCGCCCGCCCAGGGGAAGCAGACCAGCCGGACAGCGGCCTCCGGGCTCCTCCGGAAACAGGTGAGCACCTTTTCCATCTCCGCCCCTCAGGTAGAGGTTCCGGCTCGGCTGCAAAACAGCTGTCCGCGCACCTGCCCAGCACTTCCGGGTTGTCTTCTTCTGTGGTTTCTGCCCCGGCTGTTCATTCCGGGTCCAGCCGCGGAGGTCCGAGCATTAAGGTCCAAAAATGACCCGGAAATGACGCCGTTTTCCACGGCTGGTATTTCCTGACGGGTTTCCCTCTCTGGAGGAGGAAGGAGGGACTAAATGGTCGTCAATTCTCTGAATTAAAGAGCGACAGAACGGAAATGGCGACGTATTCCTCTTTCAGCTTCACACTCACACGCTGGAGCCCAAATGTGAATCACCTAACTCCTGAAATGTAAATGATTAACTTAAAACGCTGCTTTTTTAAATGGAGAATTGTCCCAGTTTCATCCATTTTTTTTGCTTTGATTACTCCATCAGAGGTTGGGAAATTCATATTCTGCAGCACAAATGTGCGTTATCAGTTTTTTTTATGGATGATCAACAATTAATGATAATTAATAAAAAAATTAATTAATTAATAAAAACCCAGCATGTGTTGATTCAGTCCTTTTTTTCTATAATTTGCGTTATTCTGTTCACTTCATGCTCATGCTGTTTCTGAATGGTGGTGGTTAAAATCAGAGGGTACATTTGCTGGATTTTTTTTGTTTTGGGAAATATTTCTGTCTCATTGAAGTTTTCGTCTCTACGTGACATCTGGGGCAGCAGAGTTGTTGCCTTCAACTGAATCTGTGAGGTTTAAACCCGACTTTATATGTCAATAATGAGGAAAAATGTAACTTGAGCACAGAAACACACAGGAAGTTGGAGCTTTTAACTTGAAGGGTGAAGCCGGAAGTGTCCGTTGCCAGTTAGCGTTAGCTTCCTGCTCGCTGCGCCAGAGGGCGGCGTAGGAGCTGATTCCAGACGGGTTTAGCGGAGGAAGACGCCGGGCTGGTGGACCCCTCAGCTCGGTTTCATAAAGACGAACGCCGTTTTGTCACGTCAAGTAAAAAGGACTCGCCATCCAGCCGTTGAAACAGGTGAATATCCTCGCCGGCTCGGTGTTAGTTATCGGAAGCTAAAGCTAATAACTCTGTTAGCTCCTTCAACCGTTAGCCGAAAAAAACGTAAATGTCAACATGTTTCCCGGCGTCAAATCCGTCAGAAGTGCCGTAAAAGTAACGGATACGCTTGTTTTGTGTCGCCCACAGCAGAAATGACGACTTTATTCGGAGGAGGGGGCGGTTGCTGAACTCTGAGCTGTCAGTTCCGCGGGGGGGGGGGGCGGGAGACCCGGTTCCACATCAGCAGCCGAAGCCGGAGGCACTGCGTCGGATTCTCTCAGCCCACCGCCGGGTCATCCGGAGAGAGACCCCATGAATGGAAATCGGAACAACAGGTGGGAGCCGCGAACTACCGGCCGGGCCGGTGCTGCGTTCAGGTGCCGCGGGGTTTCTGTGTTTTCCGGCTTGCTGGCTGGCTTCAGAAATCCGGATCGCATCCGGAAAGACTGCATTAGATCGATTCAAAATCACTATAAAAGAGAGTCTCAGACTGTGTGTTTTTTTGTTTGTTTTTTACTGTTGGGTAAAAATCATGACAGTAGAGGCTTTAGAGAAGAATAATTCAGAGTTTTAGGTCAGTAAATGCATCTGATCTCAGACTTCTTTGATTCACCAGACAGTCTGTCAGCTTTCTGTATGATCCATAAGTCTGTACAGGAACATTAAGCTGATGAGAAGTTGAAAAATGGAAGTTCTTGATTTGATATCAAAGGATTTTCTGACTCGGACATCCAGAACACCAGTTATGCTGAAAAGAGAACAAGACCGGTCCTCTTCTATTTTTAGAAAAGTGACAGGATTAGAAACAGGAGATCCACTTCTTGTTGTTGACATGACACTAAAGTTTCTAAAGGAGCCCAGTTGCATTTTTGGGGCTCTGAAAGCAGCAGGAAGACTGAAGGGAAAAAGGAAATGTTTTACATAAAGAAAGTGAAGTTCTGATCTGACCTTTAACCTCCAAAGAGTCTCTGAGCGGCTTTCAGAGTTTTTCTGCTTCTTCTCTCATTTTCTAGTCCAGTTTTTGTGTTTTTCAGCCTCTGAACTCTGAGTCATTCAAGCCCCTAACTCAAGGGATGAGCCAGTGTTGTGTCCAATCAGCAGAGCAGCAGCTTAAAGTGGATCAGAAGGAGAAAGATTAGTTTAAAAAGTCTCATCCACCTTTAATTTCTTTCTATTTTCCCTCAAAGCAGCCAGACGTCCTTTAAAGTGTTCTTTAGTGACATTGATCCAGGATTTCTGAGGCCTTTAAGAGTTTTTGTTGGGGAATTTTCTACTTTTTCAGTCATTTTTAGTCCAGTTTTACTCTTTGTTGAGCCACTTGAGGATGAAAAAAGGCCCATAACTCAAGGGATGAGCCAGCATTGTGTCCAATCAGCAGTTTGAATAGTTTCTCTGCAGGCTTATTGCCAGAAATGTTCAGAATGGTCAGAAAATGGCTTTAAAAAGGCCTTAAGATGATTTTCTTTTTCAGGTTAAAGCATTTATTCTTAGCTGTTGTTTGTAGTTGTGCTTCCTGTGAGGTCGTCTGTTGGCAAGCGTTCGGCTCGATAAGCTCTGACGAGGTGCTGCTTCTTACATCTGGATCATTATCTGTTTTCTGCTGCTCGCTTTGAGCCTAATTTTAGCTCAGGTGAAGACAAACGAGACCGGCGAGTGCACCTGTTGCCCCCCGCCCCCCCTCTCATGTCCATAGCCGCGGTTGCCATGGCGAGCCCTTGGCAACATGGGCGCCGTTGCCGCGGCGACGGCTCGGGGGAAGCGGCGAGCTGCTGGGATGCTCGGAGACGCCATCTCCGAGTCACTTTGGTGGAAATGAGGCGGGCCGTGTGACCCTGAGCTCGCCGTGGGGCAACAGCCTTCGGTTTTGTCAGTTTGGCGTGAAGCAATCGTGTCCTGTCTGCTCCTCTAGAACCAGTCTTCAGCTCTTTCCTCTCATTAACCGCTTCCTTCACCTCAGAGCTGCTCCGCAGCAGGCGACGGGTCTCTGGAGCCGCTCGGGGGGGAAATCCGTCTGGTTTGCTGCCAGTTTCTGTTGCACCTGCTGTAAAAGCTTCCCCTCCATTTTTGCCAAAAAGCTGCAGGTTTTGTCAGGAAGGGCTCAGATGTCTGTTCTGCTGCCAGAAGCAGCGGCCGAGCCGCCCTGAGGGGCTGCAGACGCCCCTCTCAGGGCTCAGCCGGCCTCTGGGGGCTCTGCTTTGGCATCGATTCACCAAAGAGGACGAGAACAGGAAGCAGCTTCACCACTGTGCGGATGGAGGAGGCAGGAGGGAGGAGGCAATTGTGGGTTTCAGGAAGTAATCTGACAGACAGTGTCAGTAGTTTGTGTTCTGCTCTGGGCTCCTTAAAGCTGAACACCAGCTCATTCATTCATTTTCTGAGTGAATGGACCACCAGCTCTGTCTTTTTTTTAAACTCATCCACCAGGTGGTGCTGTTTCCAAACTAATGGCATTGAATGAGCAAAAAGTTTGAGTTTTTTTCTTTGTTTTCTGCAGGACAAACAAGGTAAATCGGGACAAATGGTCTGATTTGTTGGTTTGTCAGATTTTTAAAAGGCTTCTATCCAGCACCGGGGGTCCATTTGGGTCGGTCGGGTTCACAGAAGGAGGCAGAAGTTTCTCAGAAAGCAATGAACCGACTCCTCCCGTTTGAACTGTGGCTCAGCTATGATTCTGCTGGTGTTTCCCAGGAGCCGCTGGAGCCCAGACGCTGTTCTCTTTGCCTCGACGGCCCAGTTATGGCGGCGCCGGGAAGCCCATCAAGCTGCTGGCCAACTGCTTCCAGGTGGACATCCCAAAGATTGACGTCTACCTGTACGAGGTGGACATCAAGCCAGAGAAATGCCCCCGGCGGGTCAACAGGTACTGAGGGTCCAGAGGGTCCACAGCCCTGGTTCTGAATGGTCCATAAGGCTCTCCACCACATACTTGCTTCACTCTGAACCTCCAAAGAGTCTCTGAGCAGCTTTCAGAGTTTTTCTGCCTCTTCTCTCATTTTCAGTCCAGTTTTTGTGTTTTTTCTCTTTTAAGCCACTGAGCTCTGAGTCATTCAAGCAGAAAAAAAGGCCGCAAACTCAAGGGCTGAGCCAGTGTTTTGTCCAATCTGCAGAGCAGCAGTTTAAAGTGAATCAGAAGGAGAAAGATTC